ATCTCTTGACTTGCTCAGAACATCCCTCCGGCGTCGAACGTCGAACGACCGGAATGCCGTCACCGTCCTCCGGTGCCTCAGCGCGTGCGCTTCGGACGCCTGTGGCGCACCTGCAAGATCCGCCGTCACAAGGCGCGCGTGCGGCGTGCGCTTGGGGCGGACTGGGCCGGGCCGAGCGTCTCTGGTCGGCCTTTGGTCGTGCACCTGGGGAGGTTCAATTCTACCGGTGTCCTCCTGTTGCAGGCCCTATTTTTTGTGGTCACCAAGCCGTTCCACATCAGATCCCAGTGGTGTGCTAGAGAAGCGATTTTGCTTGTTGAAACCACGAAGCCAAGAAAGGTCTTGTCATGTGGACTGTGGACGGGGAAAGAAGGTTCTCCTTAGTCTTTGAGTCTTTGACCATCTTCTACGTCGCTCATGAGATGCTGAAGCATGAAGAGATTGCGTTGGAGTGTGTCCATTGCCAGTGACAGTCGGTAAAAGATCATAACTATTTTTGAGAAAGACTCTTTACTCACCATCGTCATCCACTGTTACTCCAAATAGCGTTCTTCCTTCCCTGCTTCGGAGTTCCATCTTCAGAACTGTGTGATGGAGCTGCACTTGATCAAAAAGGTGCAACATTTCTGTTTCTTCAGATGAGGCACCCTCCTGCTGCTTTGAAACAAACCATCCAAGTCTAAGTCAAACATGAGCAGGTCTCTCTAAGTGCCAACTTTCCTGACAAAAAGTCAAGAAGACATTCATGGGCTTTGTATGAAAACTCACTGCCTCAGGCTATCAGGGTACGGAAGCATGGGCGTGGTGAAAGTCTTTCGGGGTATCGCCCCCTCCCCCAAATTTCTTCAAACCAACCCAACGGGAAAAGACCCGCCACCCATCCCGTCGGCCTTGGTTGGGCGGTTTTGGCGACTCCAGGCACGTCAGCCGGGCATGACCAAGTTCAAGAGGATCATGAATCGATACAAGGGGTGCGGGTGGCCCAGATGAGGTTCCTCCAGCACCAAACCTTCACCACACTTCACCCCAATTTCCAGGTTCCTCCACCCAGAACTCCGGTGGCCTGGTGTTTGGTCCCTAAGTGAGTGGATGTTCTGGGCACCCCGACTACCTCCATTAAGCACTCCTTTGTGACTGCTGGTATATATACGAAATTGGGATGCTTCATAGAACAAGTTTTGCCTTGACCCAGTTGAATTGAAGCTGTTTTTTCGGGCGAATCGAAGCACAAAGAGGGTAGATTTGGAACAGTGGACGTCCAGCTTTGGTAGAACTTTAAAGGCACTTCATGAGGACGGCAGCCAGTTTCTTCTTTTGAAACCTGGAAGAAGTACAATATATCGGCCAGCACCTTCAAAGGGGTCACCAGCGGAGGCCCCTACACTACTTGCGGATCTCCATTGGACACCCCTTGAAGGTCCAGGTGCTTTTTGTCAAAGGGTGGCTGTGGCATAACTGGGACTCCTCACGGTCAGTGGCTCCTGGTCCATGTACGGCTTCCAAATATGGCGAACACCAAAGACACACAGAACCTTGAAACGGATTCTTTTGTCTTGTAATTCAACGACTCCAAAGGAGTAAACCCACCAAAATGCCGGCCTTGGTGGATCCTTGCATTCCAACCACCAGGCACTTGCCAAACACACCTCGAACGACCGAAACCCGACCCAGGTGGAAGCAATCTTCGCCGCGCTGAGGCGAGCGGCGCGCGTCCCGGAGGCAACAATCGGTGGTTCTGCGGGCATTCGCGCGCCTGTTTGGCCTTGCCATATTCTGTTTTGAAGGAAGGACAAGGAAGACTTTGGAATGAATAAAGCCCCGCAATTTGGATGGTCAAATGGTTTAGATGGGATGTTTTATTCATCTTAAGAGTCTACATTAAGTATTGAACCAGACGCTTGGCTCAGTCGCAAGTGGTTCACTTGGCCATGGGCCATACCAAAAGTCCGTGTTCACGCGTGATTGAAAGGCGCTGGGTACACTCTATCTTATGCCTCTCTCGAAGGTTTTTTACCTCACATCCGGATCCTGGGAGTCACAGCGCTGCGAGGTCCCTTGTTGGATGGTAGATCCTGGTCGGTGTTCTTTTCGTCCACCACCACCGCCAGTCCCTGGATCATCCTGGACCTCAGTACCAGCTTTTCTTTATTTTTCACAAGACTTTGTTGATGCATCCAAGGAGGATAGGTCCTTTCCCAGCACCTCTCTCAGAGCTCTCTTCCAAACAAGTACCTCAACAAAGGCCTTCCTTGTTTGCCAACAAGCCAACGCACATGACGCGCATTTGCGAGAAGCCGAACGAAGCTGTTTGTGAACTGCTCACTCGCAACGGCGCAGCACACCAGTGCGGAGCGTCGTTGAACCAGGTGCACTAGTGAGAAGGCCCTGCTGGCCTTTGATTCTGCGATCGCGAACCCCGCGCGTCCAGCGCGAAGAAAAAGAAGGGGGGGGTACCGGGTAGCGGCTCTCAACACTCCTGGAGCAGGTTCGAAGCGTTCTGGGAGCTGGCAACCCTTTTGTTTTGAAGTGAGTCCCTGCAAAAGGTTGCCAGCATGTTGTACCTTTTGTTCATCAGATGTTCTGGGCACATCTCGTGTGTTTTGGGATCAGACGATGCGAGTCCCAGGGGCCCTCCCTTGCGGCTGCCCACACTCCAGCTTGCTCTCGTGGGACCCTTCGGGCCGTTCCAAAGATGGTCGTTCTCCGGGGTCAACGCATGCGCAGAAAGACACGTCGGAAGCAAACACAGAAGCAGGGCATGTTGGGGCGTCGAACGAGACAAGCTGTCCACATGCCCTTCTGACCGGAGACCCGACCGGAGACCCGGTTCCCAGGTCTCCGGTACTGTGGTCCCGAGGAGGAGACGAAACCTCATCCCCCCATGGAGACGTAAGGACTCGAGGTTGGGGTTCCGGGGTGCACCGCTCCGGCCTTCATGGGGTGGAAAGGAGCAACAGGTCACCAGCTGCGACGACTTTTAAGTCTAGAAAGTCCTCCAGCCATCGGAGACCTGTTGGAAGGTGACATCTCGATGCCGGTGACGACGCCAACCTCGCCCGTCTCCCGACTCGAGTGACTCGACTCGAAGCTCCCATGGTGGACCTGAGCTTCACAGGTCATGCGCTGTGAAACACCTCGGTTTTTCAACACCTTCGGGTGGTTCGACCGAAGGTGTTGTGGTCGCCTTGAAGGAGGTGTGTCCTGGAAGAGTGTGGTGTGTGTGGTGAACGCCGGACCTGGCACCGTCGGTCGTCCGAGCCTCGTTCCATCGTGGGAGGTAGTGACTGGAGTCATCGGTGGGAGCTGGTGCGAAGGAGCCACCGGAGCTACGGAGCCTGACGGGCCAACTCTTCCCCACTCGAAGCGACCACGGGCCAACTCTTCCCCTGGCCAGGTTGGCATGGTGCTTGGGATGGTGTTTCTTTGTTGTTCACCTTTGTGCTGTGGCATGGAATCAAACCCTCCACAGCTGTCGAAGATCGGTCTTGGTCCTCGTTCGGGGATCTTGGAGGTCTTTGCTCACCCAAATTCTTGGGATTTTAATGGATATTTGTTCCATACCTAGGTAGGGAAACACTACTATAGTCAGTCATCTATAGTCTATTTCCCTGCTTCCAGGACGTCGGGACGCCGTGTCCCGGGAGGTCCCCCCTACTTCGGGAGGTCACCGAAGTGGCCGTGGACGGAAGGGGACCGTGCTGCGAACTGTCCATGGCCGTTTGGGCTCTCAACGAGCACTCCAAGTAGCCGGAAAACGCCCGCAGTGGACCCAAGCGCGAGTCAGCTCGGTCACTCAGCCCGTGAGAAGATCACTCAGGGGGTCGAAGGTTCAATTGGAAGACGTTGACCTGGAACCCCAGTCCCAACTAGAAACAACTGGTTGTTCCAATATGGCAATTGAAATCCTTTACATAGGAAATGGTTGTTTAGGGAGATTTTGGAGGCGTTCCGACCTGGCTTCGGTTCGGAAACTAGACCAGGCTGCCGGACCACTCGACAGGTCGAAGACAGACGCCAGGTGAAGGCAATGCGCAATGCGGTGGTTTGCTTGGGGGGAGAGGTTTGCTTAGCACCCTAAGCATCCGGCGCTCATTGGGATGGGTCACTTGAGAGCCCGCAGGTCGGTGAAGAGTCGGCCCGAAATCGCTCGGACTGGGTGCCCAGGGGGCGTAAGCGCTCCATGACCATCCGCCAGTCGATCGTACGATTCGCCAGTCCTTGGCAAGAGAAAGACGGGAAGAACAGCAAGTGAACTAGTCTAGTCTACCAGTCTACCGGGTTTGGAGGGCCTGTCACCTTCCTGAGCCACCACAGCTCGCTGTGTTCAGAGGCGAGCTCGAGTCTGATTGGCTTATGAGATGCAGTAATTATGTGCTATACGAGTGTGGATTCTAGTGGGAGACCTTTATATCCTGTTACATAATTCTACTTATTCGAGCTACACATGCATGCGGATGTACTGAGAAGACAAGTACTGCAGATGACCCTGCACTCACACACTCTTGTGAAAATGGTGTAGGTTTCTCCATTTACCCCTTGCCCTGCTGAGCACAGGGGTCCTAAGGGGCAAGCCCACTCGACCGAGTTTCTGATGTGTTAGGTACGCAGGTACAAACCAATCGAGGCTTAGTCTTAGACACTCCTACAGCGGGTAGAACCCCTTTCCCTTAAGTTGGCGGACGGAACTGAGGGGATGTCTTCCTCTCAAATCTCTTCGTCCTGACGTCCGACCCCTTCGGCCAAAAGAGAACCGAGCTCGTGAGCAGCCGCCTTTTTGTATAGCCAGCGGCTTGACCTCCAGGGTCCAAGAACCTTTGTTTATACAGCTCATGCTTTCGCATCATCGTGCTTTTTGTAAAAGTGGTCCCACGTCTCCAGAACCTCAACATAGACCGTCTAACTCACCCATTTGCCCTCCAAACGCCGTGCTCTTTCACCACCAGACCAGACCCTCCGCGAACCCGCGTCTCCGCCCTCGTGGCCGTGGCCTCGTCGCCGAGGACTCGATCCCAGCAGATTCCAAAAAAGCTGAATGACCGCCTCTCGGCGAAGACGTGCCGCGACGCACCGGTGGCCACGCGGCGCGGGACGGTGGCCACGTGGTGCGCCGACGACAGCGGGCGAGAGCGGAGCGGGTTCGCGGGCGACAGCGGCGACGGACGTGGTGCGGCGACGGACGGGGTGAAGCTGCGGGGGGTGAAGAAGTGAGGAAGCAACACTCGAACTAGCAACCTTTTTAACTAGTTAAGCCTAGACTTCCAAGACCCTATGAAAATATGGTTGACCTTGTGTTTGTAGTGCAAAATCCTTTAGTTGATTTGGTAAAGCCTATTAAACTAATGGTGGTTGGAAGCCTAGGGGTATATATTTTTTTCTTTTGTCGCGAGGCTTCAGGATTTGCTTTGAGGAAAAGAAATGCTTTTAGAGGGACATGGTTGTGCTTGGATGGTCATGGTGGTCTTTCCTGTGGTTGGTGGGTCTTGTGGGTCTTCATTTTTGATAGTTTTCGACTTTGCCGAGTCTAATTTTAACTTGTCCAACGTGGAGGTGGATTTGCAAAGGATGACCAAAGCAACATGAACCACAGCTATAGTTGCCCAGTTACCATGGATTCCATAAGTAGGCATTGAACTGCTAGGAAAATCCGAGCAATTACAGAACATTCCGCCAGGGCAACCAGGACGAGCTCCACAAAACAGATGTGTGTTCTTGTTCCAATGTGGTTTTGAACACCGCAGGTGTACTTCTTCTCATCCCCAGGGGCAGCAAAATGGCTGCCTGGTTTGGGCTTCCCGGACTCCGCCGAGTCGTCTTGCCGGACTCATGTGAGTAGTCCTGGAAGTCCCACCTGTAGTTTGGAAGTAGTAGATAGAACATGCTTGTAACCAGTCTTACAAGCTCCTTCCTTTCTGAGTAGTAGAAAGGAACTTACATGGAAGTAGGAGCTTCAAAGAATTTCTTAAGGTTCCGTCTCAGTCTTTTGCCTTTTGGTGGAGTCGCCACCCACCCGCCCCACCACGCAACGGCGCCCGCTCGCAACGTCTCGCTGTCCAGGTCAGCCGCCATTGCGAGGCCGCCATCGCGTGCGAGCGTGCGCGCCACCCGGCGGACGAGCGGAGGAAGCCGGAGGAAGCCCATTGGGATATATATTTTTTAGATATCCTTTTTTTTTGTTCTTTTTGTTGGGGCCCTGGTGCTTTTTTCGTGGGATTCCAAATTTGAAAGGATCAAAGACCACCATGTTTCCGGCTTTTTCCAACCCCAAAAGCCTCTTTAGCTCGAGCGAGAAGTCGAGCCGAACGGATCCCGCTCGGCTTCCGAAGGCCAGACCGCGATCGGCCGAAGGCGGTGGTCCAAACGGAGCGGACGCCGGCACTCGGAAGGAAGAGACGACCGACTGGAACAGGTTGCTGGTCCGAGTTGAGCCTTTTTTCTTCCATCTTCATCTCTTTGGCAATTTACCTTCATCTATCTTTGGCAGAAAAAGGTTATTTCTCTAATCTTTCATGATTTCCCTCACCGTACTGGAACATCAGGACGGCCATGGCAGATCGAAAAAACAGCCCCCCCCTCCACCCAGCTCCGCCCCCACCCCAGCGAACGCGCCGGACCCTCCTGCGGGTGGAACCCGGGGTCTCCTGCGGTCGACCGGGGCCGGGTCTCGTTGCCCGTGGAGGTGGAAAACTGGGATGCCAAGGAGTGTTTATGGGGGGACTGAAGAGGGCGGTCGAGGGCGGTAGAGGGAGAGGGGGTCGGGAAGATCGAGAAGCCTGTGTGTTCTTGGGTGCAAAAAGACTGGTCTGGGCGTAGGCCAAAAAAAGGTCGGCACACGGGTTTTGTGCCTTGAAAAGAAAGGCACAGTTTCGGAGGGGAGAAGGGGAGAATCACAACAGTCAGTTAGTTCTTCAACATATTCCGAGACCGGTTCATGTTGGAACTGGTTCCAGAAGGTTTTTACATTAAGGCAAAGGAGCGGTGCTCTTTCCGGATCTGGTCCGTGAGAAGACGGACTGCATCACCATAGTTCCTTGATACACCAGACCCATTTAGTGGGCAATTTGGATCATTGGTTGCCTTTTATTCACCAATCACTTTGACCCAGTAAAGGATCATTGACTCGTTTTCTTTTTTTTGCCGTTCTTTCGGATTCCTTTTTTTGACTCCCTTTCATCCTTTCATCCTTGGCTCTCTGCGGGACCTACGGACCGTTGTGGGTTTCCACGGATGCCGAACCGACGGGCGGGTCCCGGACGTGGGCGAGTTTGCCGCGGTCCTTCGTCAGGAGAACGAAGCAGGCAAGAACCAGAACACCGAGGAGACCGGGGGGGGTGATAGAGCGAACCTCTGGCTTCGCAAGAAAGTACGACCACACGTGGTGTGACCTGAAAAGGGCGGCGCGTGGACCATCGTCGGACGTCCTTTTGGTATGGGAAGCCTTTTTAGCCTTCCAAGACCATCAAAAACAGGGTTGACCTGGCTTTATAGTGTGAACTTTAAAAACTTCCAATAGCAAGCAATGATTGATCCTTCAAGACCATTGAAACAATGGTTGTTGGAATCCTGGGGGCAATGCACGCCCCCTGTGCTGTCCAATCATTTGAAGCCAACCATTGGTGTCACAGAACCAAGCGCAAGCCTGGTACTGCAAATGAAATGAAACGCAATAGCCATAGATGACAATATGAACTGTATACCCTTGTATAAACATATGATGAAAGCCTGACAGCCTGACTCGAGCAAAATCAAGAGCCGGCCAAAATGGCGAACGGAGCGTTCATGGAACGCCCCAGGAGAAGGTCGCCATCTTGAAAGACCTCCTACCCAGCAGATCCCGTTGGGCCGACATCGAGGCCATTCGCGTAGCCGTCGCGAACTGGTCGTTCTGGAGAGCTGCGGGACCTCGTTCCGAGGCCGCGGGACCTCGTTTAGCATGAAGCGTCGGTCAAAGATTCTGAACGATGCTTGAAATGGTGGAAAGGCCTGTCACCGAACCATCCATCATCCACTGGGCCCAAACAAACACTTTGGGCGATAGCCAAGGTTTTATGTGATCGCAGGACGCATCGTGGATGACCGGACCTCGACTCGACAGACGTCGGATGCTCGCGACCCGCCCCCTTTTTTGGGAGGATGAACGTGGTGAACCCGGGCAGTTTCACCGCCTCGAAATCTGGAGAACACTGGCCCCCTTGGTTTCTTGAAGTTTCATTTGTGAGGCTTATTGGTCGAACATGAAGGGAGTTCTTGCTTTGGGGAAAAAACATACAGTAGATGGGTAATGATGGGTATGCGGTATGCGTCAAAATTTTGCAGTTGAGTAAATGTCCTGACTGAGACAACGAGGTATGCGGTACGTGTCTTCTAGGTCTGATGTTCAATATTCTTTCTGATTGCCCGATGGCTTTGGGGCAATTCCAGATCAACACCCCAAATATCAACAGAACCGGTGGGAGGTTCACATGAGTTCGAACCAGCAGATGAGGCTATCCCTGCTTTGCTGGGTCTGCTCTGGCTTGCCATCCCAAAAACGAACATGGACCCCGGGTCGTCTGACGGTTTTCCGAAGCCAGTGGCTGAAAAGGCTCCATCTTAGGCTTCGTCTTGGCTCGAATCCTTTCGGCTTGTGCCCCTTCGAAGACTCTCCTTTGTGGGTCGCGTCGTGGACCGAGGACCTCGGTTTACCAAAAGGGGGGGGCATTGGCAAGTCCGGGAGGGGAAGATGAGGACTGAACGCGAAACTGAGGGGGGGTGTGTTCATCAGGGGCGGCAGGGGGTTGTTCTATGACAGTTATGGAAGTGGAAAATGGATCTTTGGAAGATTGGGAGACAATTATTTTTCTACAAACAGGTGGTTTTCCACTTCCATGATTGTTTAAACAAGTGTATATTATCATTAGATTGTTTAAAGGATCATGAAAGAATCCGGGTGGCAAAACCAGGAGTGACAACCTGGCAGGATTTTTGTTTGTAAAGTTGTTGTTTATTTATTTTTTAGACATTGAGGCCCTTGAACTTCTTGGATCAATCCTCGAAGCACTGTTTCGGGGCGGATCTCTGCTTGTGTGTTGTGAGGAAGCGGGAGGGTGACCATTGTTTTTTTTCCCTCCCCTGGATTCCACTGGATGAGAAGGTCCGTGACGTGTCCAACTCTTTTCCCAGGTGGAAGATGCTGTGGATGACTTCGAGGCGGATGGCAGTGCCCTGGAACTTCCGTCGGTTTGGGGTTCAAACGCCCCGCGCGACGGCTGGAAGCGGTCGGGGCACGACCGCTTGAAGCGGGCTGCTTTCGAGCGGTGGACTTGATGAAGACGAAGCGGATTGGGAGTTGACAGCCGCTTTCGGTGACAGCAGTAGCTGGTAGACGATGGCTCTTTGGGGACCTGCAGATGGGTGTGTATTTTAGATTCGGGAGACCCTCGCTAATGGGTTTTGGTCCATGGTCAATGGTCTATTTTCCTTCTTCCAGAACATCTTTGGGAGGTTTCCCTATTTCACTACACACCCAGATGAGAAAGAGATCACCACTTCCTCCCCCTTGACAGTGTATGGACGGGATATGTCATGATATGAGCTCCGCCATCTTCACGCAGGGAGAATCTAAGGAAGTTTTCCATATCTACATGTCTTCTGTCACATGGGTCTAGCTTCCATGAGCTCCGCCACATGAAAAAGGAGTCCCTTCACCTGTGCGACCGAGAGCTATTGGTTGATTAAGAGAGCGAAGATCCTCGGTATGTTACAAGGTGCATGGTACCTGGCATGGACCCTGTTTGGACCTAAAAAGCTCAGGAATGACTAGTCTGAATCCATCATGAATAGGCTGAATAGGTAATTGGAATGAGTCATGACATTTTTTCTCATTTTTTCTCCCGCGAGACAGCATGAGAACTATCAATACATTGGATCCTTCCACAGCCATTTTCCTCCATTTTTTCCTTTCCAAACGAGTTCTCCCAAATGAGACAAGAACAAATATACATACCGATGGCGACCAGCCAAACATACAACGACCCCCACCGATGGTCTCTCTCTCTCTCTCTCTTTTTCCACCCCCAAAGAGAAGGAGGACCGGTCCACCGATAAATTCGGCGCCCAAGGCGAGCGGGTGGACGAGAAGCTGGCAGGGCGTAGACAGCCGCGCGGTTCGAGAGCGGTTCGAGAGCAGGTGTCCCGGGCACCGGTGAGGTCCGGTGAAGGTCGGTGAGCTGCAGATGAGAAGATGTGTTTCATGTTGCTGTTCTGGCGGGTGATGAGAGAGCTGATGGGTTTTTGAATTCCCCCCCACCCAGTGCCAACAATGTTCGCTACTAGGAACAAGTGCATCGCTTCTAGTAACAAGTGCCTTACTAGTAGTAACAATGTTTGCTATTAGAAACCATGTTCGCTACTAGGAACAATAAGCTACTAGGAACCCGACACATGGAGTCTGAGGGTTCTCTGCTAGACCGCAGCGCGGGGCCGCGACGAGATCGGTGAAGGATCTCCTCCCTTTTGCAGGTGAAGGGAGATCAGTGCAGAATGCCTTCAACTAGATTCCTAGATGCTTGAGTTTGGAGAGGTGAACAACATGGTCCCCAAATCGCAGCCCCAAACACCTCCTCCTTCGTCCCACGATCTGACTGCGTCCCGTCCACGTCCAGTCCCAGGCTCGGCCCCCGCGGCGGTCGTCGCCCCAAGTTCCCCGCGGCCGACGTCCAGAAGGCGCGGAGCGGACTGGGGCCCGTGGGTGGCGGGGCGGACCGGGTGTCAACCTTGTGTCACCAATGGTTCGACCTTGTGTCGGGCCCTTTCCAACCCTCTAGCCAGTCGGAGGCCTTTTTGGAGTCGGGTTGGACTGGCATGCAGAACCGGGGGTGCTTCTTCCGATGTTTTCAGGGTCGATACATGGGAAAACCATGGGGTCGTGATCAACCGCACGGAGCGTTCGCGCGTTTCGGAGCCGTTTTCCAACCAACACCGGGTCTCTGGGTCTTTGGGTGCCACGACTCAATGTGCAGCCCAACAAAACGAGACAAAACGCCTAATAGTCCGGACATAGACGTTCTACCTCACGGAGAACGCCAGCACCACGGATTTCGGGTGTCCATTCATAGCCCCTCATATAGAGGTCTTTTGGGGGTGTCCATTGACCACCCCGACAACGGTCCCACGGGGAGACGGATCGACCGGGCACCGCTCAGTGGACGGTTCTCCAGGTGCACCCCGTGCCGCCGCCCGAGGCGGGGCGGAAGAAGAACCCGGGGGTGGAAGACTCTGCCGGACACCCGATAAGGTTCTTCAAAGTACGAAGAAGAAGACATACAGAAAGGACAAGACCCACAAAAGACATGATTGGTGAAAAAGAAGAAAGATGGTGAATTTGTCTACCATAAAGATCATTCACCTTCTTCTTTTTGATCTTTACATAACACTAGAAGTCCTTTTCTTTTTCTTTTTTCACTTATTTACAGTGACACTCACCATTCTTCTATATACTCTTTTTTTATACGGGAGGTTGCGATCGCTTTGGGACTTCTCCAAGTCCAAAAAATATATAGATTTTGCACTGATGGAGGGGTAGAAGGACGAGGACTTCCTTGGTGGAGAAGACATGTCAGTTTGGCGGAGTGAGTGACATGTCAGCTTGCTTCTGAACAGATTCGGGCTATTTGGAAAACAGTCTGGCACATGTGGGCTCTTAGTCAAGATGAATTGGATTGGACACTGATCAGGGATGCATTAGGTATGTTTGAGAAGAGATCTCACCACCACCTGGTTTCTGGAAGGACCATTCAAGCGCCTACGGATTCTTTGGCGGGTATGGCTCAGCCTGAGATCCAAGCAGACGGTCCACTTCGGGTTGACCCACCTGAACGGGACATGCGCGGCAGGTGAAGCCTTACATCAAGCCCTACATCAAGCAGCAGGAGGTGACCCAGGTGAGATTTTCTTCTCGTGTGGTGAAATGGTGAGGATGTGTCTTGGATGGGTGGGTATTACCATAAGATCATGTCTAGAGTTCAGTGACTCTAGTGACTAGTGGAAAGAAGAAGATCTTGAGCTCAAGTCGCTGAGCGTGATCAACAGGCGAACGACCACAGTGAGTTCCTGACCATGTCCCAGTCGAACGACCTCCGGTCGTTTCGGAACCGACCGTGCCGAAGGAACGGCCGAAGGGGCAGGAACGCCGTTTTCGGAGCTCGGTTGGACCCGTGCCGTTTGGACCGGTGGTGAGGTCTCTGAGGTCTGAAGTCTTCGTCTCCGGCTTTCGCCGGGGGGGTTTGGAGAGAGAGGTGTGTCGAGCTGGTGAGCTGGTGTGTGTGTCTGTGCTAGACTGCGGGAGAGGGGGGAACCCCCAACTCGCCAGGTCGGTCGAATCTTCCAGAACCGAACCCAGGAGCGCCGGGGCCCGGGAGCTCTGGCGATATGGTTTAATGCACACCCAAATGATTCCAAAGACACAGGGACAGATGACATAGGTGGGTGACACAGCTTCTTAGAGATGGGGCAATCACAGCAAAACGGTGCTGGCCCTCGGTGGGTATGTGCATCAGCATCCTATTTTGGAAGTACGGAAGCACTGTATCTGAAAGAGAAGCCTTTCCACTACACCTCGTACCCTGACTGTGACAACGTTGCAGTTGAAATCCCAGAGTGCTGGACGGTTTTAGTTCAATATCAGGTGTCCCTGCAACTCCTTTCTCCTCACGAATGCTCGTCACCGAAATGCTCGTCCAAGAACAAAAGCTAAACCAAGATCACGACGTTCGTGCCAGGCCTCCTGGCATGTGCAAGCCTGGGGCATGGTGGGCATGGACTGGGGATACCAGCGGGGCACCTCAGCTCGAGCTGCTCAGGGCCTTCTGGGCTCTCCTTCGCAGGGCCCTTTGAGTCGAGACAGATTTCTTTCTACACGAAATGACTCACGTTCCATGGTCAAGTGCAGTGCGAACGTGAAGTGCAGTTCAACCCCTGTTGGAAGTGCAGGGACCCAGTGGTCTTCCAGGGTCCCTTTTGGTCCCCTTTTTTCCACTTGAAGTGTCAACTTGCGAAGAGTGTATGCCAGATCAGCATTTGCAACACTGCAGGGAGTCCGAGGTTGTTGTACTAATGTTCTTCTTGCAAACGAGAAGCCAGCCGCACACATTTCATGACATTCCAATCTTTGACTTCCGAGATATTTCTTGGCTCTCGGCGCAAAGTGCCTGTTTCCCTTGTGAAGAACATTCGAAGCTATGCTTAGAGCGATGCTGCGCTTGGCAGTCTTGCTCCTTTGCGGGCTTAAAGGGTTGGGCTCTGAGCTTTGCCTTGACGATGGTGTGCCAGAAAGCCAGCGGACGTACATCCAGGCAGGTGCTGCTTTGGGGTTCTTGTCATTCTGCGTTTTCTTATGGTCATCCTTTTGGCCCACATACTACTGTATCTCTTCTCTTGCCCTCTTCTGAGACCATGTTGCACTTCTCTTGCCACTGACCCACGTGTTCCCCCACCTCCGCTTCTGGCGGTTGCAACGCTGACCCAACGCTGTCAGCCACCAAAACACCAGGTCGTACTGCCAAAGGCTGCGCTGTTCACTTGAATGGTCTTGAACAATCACAGTTGCATTTGAGTTGCCACTCGAGTTTAAATCAAAGCATGCGCCAAAAGCCCGCGGGAGCCAAGCTGGTTTTCCTTTTTACTGTTCGTGGCATGTCAGCTGATGCGTTCAGGATGAAGCGGGCAATGATATTCCAATCGGGGTCTTTCAGAGCAATTGGGCCTCGTCTTGGCTTCTCAACAAGTTGACGGAAATGCTGGTTCAAGAAGTCATGGGCTACCATGCCACCCTCGATACGCGCATGGGTGCCAATGGGGCGTCTTGCTTCTACGCTTTGCCAGGATGTCTCGACTTTGACAACAAAATCGTGGCCGAAAAGCAGTGTGGAATTACTGAGACGACGCTCCACATCAGCGTGGACTCTTGGGTCGGCAGCTATGCTTCGGCCATGGACCAATTTAACAAGGCATACCCCAGAATTGCATCAGAAGACTTGGGCAGCATGGGCTACCCGGTTTTCTTTACGGTGATTGTCCTTTTTCACCTTTGGTGGATCTCCCTTTAGGCAATCCGGAAAGGGAATGCTAATTATGTGGTTTCTTAAGAACATGCAAGGCTATGCTGGTGAGGAGTCCATGTACGTGAGCCAGGCCATCCTGAACAGTGCTTATGCTGATTCTGGTCTTGCTCTCGACTTCTACAAGAGTTGCTTATTTGATCTTACTTGAAGTTTGGTTGTCTCAATGTAGTTTCAGTTGTTGTCTCAGTATTTCCAGAAGGACTGAACAAAAAAGTGGCGCTGATGCGCTTGTAGATGGTTTCTCATTCTAAAGTGTCGTTGTAATTCATATATATTATATACATGTACTGTATAAATATAAAAATATATATATATGTATGTATCATCGCCTCTACATATATTGCATACCTAGTACCTGGAGCACCTACACAAATCCTAAATCCGAATCCTGTGGGTTGGTGTGGGGCGTGGCAAAGGGCACTCCAGAGATTCTCAAAACACCAAAGCGGTGCCACAAAGTTGAGCTTGCTTTTTGGTCATCGTTTCAGGTGGTTCACACAACGACATTGTGTTCCCAGTCGCTTCGGTCAGGGTTTTTACATGTTGCGTTGTGGTCTTGAAGTGTTTGGGTGTCTCCAGCTGATTTCAAGCAAGGTTTCCACATAACGAAAGCAGTCCTTGATCTTTCTATTGATCGTTTTAGCCAAACACCCAAAAGCAGAACACCAACGAAAACGATTGGCACTCACAAAATGGTGATTGTTTTGGATTCAAGGTATACATTGTATACACCAGAAGCCACCGTCAATCCGTCTATCGGAGGGTGATTCCGCTCGTTCCCCCTTGCCGTCCCGGCCGTCGACGTTGACGCTCCGACGCTCGTGTCGACCGTGAGGCTACAACACGACACATCACAACCCGAGGACGTTGTTCGTTCGCACCGGAGAAAGAAGTCTATTAGATCTAGAAGTGTGTGTTTTTGTGAGGTTGCAATTGGATACAGCACCTGTCATTCGCCTTCCCATCTGTTTTAATTCAGGAAGCTGGTACCTCCTGTTCTTTGTATGTGCATTGTCCACAGGCCATACGCCACAACACAACCTTTTTTGTGTGCGCCATGCAGGAAGTACTTTGATTCCATTCACGATGTGGATTTGTTGGAGCTGGAAATGTGCAATGAGACGGACATGAGTAACCCAAGTCGAATGGGAGACTATGCCAAGTACTCTGGGGACTACGACGGGGTAGTGAGCCAGCCAGATGGTACCTATATCGCCAAGTGCACAAACAATCGTTGGTGGTATGCCCCCGCTTGCAGGCAAAACTCCTCTCAGTGCATCCCTCTCTTCACGTCAGGCAATGGTTGGAAATTGCAAGCGTTGATGCAGTGGTCCACCGCCTACGGCATGCCAACAGCCGTCGGACTCTCCAAAGGCTACGGAACGTGGATCCAACATGTGCAGAATCATCGGGCCTTGCACTACTGGTGGGTTCCAGATTCCACTTTCATCGACATGTTGCCAGAGCCTCTGACTTTTGCGCGTCACAGTGCAACTGAGTGGTGGGACGGAGATAAGAAGACGGGTGCCAAAGGAAGCTACGTGTCCAAATTGGTGAGTCACAACTTGCAAGCGAAGGCAGGCAGGGTCCGTGAGTGGCTTGGCAGAATTTGGGTGGCCTCTGGATGTCCGGGTCTTCCTTGATGCTTTTTGGAAACCTTTTTGGAGATCTCTCTCTACTAGTAGCAAGGCACCTTACTTGCAACAAGGACACTAGTAGTAGCTCCTGGCATTACTACTAGTAGCAAGAAGCTAGTAGTGGTAAGTAGGAGCCACCACCCCAAAGGGTTCGGAGGAAACGAGAAAACCTGGGCCTTCACATGCCGTCACCTTGGTGGTCCGTTTGGGCACCACATACAAGAAGGGTTCAAGCGAAGACCTTAGTTTTCCAATGTTTTCCAAATCAGGTATATACATTGGAGAGTGTGTTTCCTCTCATGAAGTCCTCTTGAGAATGACACATACGCTACTATCGATCATATGGAAGGAGAGCTAGTCCATCCAACCAGCTGGAGATTCCGAAGCATCTTCTGTCCCTCTTCCGGACCGCACACCTCGGGACGAGGGAGGTCTGGGTGGTGCCGGTTCGGGGTCCAGTCATTCTGAACGAGCCAGGTTTGTGTCCAACATGAACTTTGAGCTTCCAGAGGTGCAAAATCTCCTTCTGGAGCTCCAGCAAGCAGGGTCCACCTACAACGTCTCGTGCAAATGGATGAAGGAGAATCGAGACAGGCACGGTTTCGTCCGTGAGATGTTCTACCGTCACGCGCAAGCGCGTCACGGAAAGCGAGCCGAAGCGGGCCTAGTGCAAGCGCACACACACACACACACACCCCATCGCAGTGTGTCTAGAGCCGGTGAGCCTGGGTGGCTCAAGTCTCAGATCGAAGTCTCAGGTCGGAGTGGGTTCATCCAGGAGAGGTTGGTTGGCAAGAATGTGACCATTCTCAACCCCTTGGGTTAAATGGTGAGAGTCAGGGGTTGGTTGTGATCTAGCATGTAGATATGAATAGATATGATATAATCCAACCCCAAAGACTTGAGCCAGATGGAAACCAGTCGTCCCGGTGGTCCCGTGGTCACGAGGTGGATGAAATGGAAACCGGTGGAGACTGCTTGCTATGAAGGCTTCGGCTTGGTGGATGCTTCCGGGGCTTTTGTCTCCAGCAGAGCAGATGCTGTCGGATGTGGGCTTTGCCAAGCAGGATCTGCATCTGAGGAGCTCATTGATGATCAGGGCAGGACTTTCCAATGCAAGCTTTGTGCTCCAGGATACAGCCAAGCCAACACCTACTCCACCCAATGTGAGCCGTGTCCAAAGGGCACATCAGCAAGCTCGTCTGGGAGCACACAATGTACACCCTGTGATGAAGGTTTTTACCAACCAGACACAGCGCAAACCTCATGTATCTCATGTGGTGGTTCCCGAACAACGCTCTTGCTGGGTGCAGGATCTTTGACAGACTGTGTTTGTGAGGCAGGGACAATCGAATCGCAATCCGTTTGTGTGGCTTGCCATGAGGAAAGCATGCATTGTCCAAAAGGTAGCACAGTCGACAAGCTTGTGGCAGCTGGGGGAATTGCGGACTTGAAGAATCCCTTTGTGAAGAAGGGCTACTTCGGCAAGCCGGATTTGCTTAAACAAGCACTTTGAACTTTGAGCACAAACAAAAAATACAAATTAAGTCGCACTCTTTAAATGGGCCGTTATGGGAGATTCTTTACAATGAAAGATACCATAACATTATATTGTTCTATTTTTGTGACTTGATCTGTGTGAGTTGGTGTTCTTGTAGATTCCCATCCAAGGCAATCCGCTCGCCCCTCTTGACACCTACAAGTGTGCGGGGGAACTCGTTTGCCCAGGTGGTGCTCCAGGCGAATGCTTTGGAGACCGAGAAGGTCTCACATGTGGAGATTGCAAAGAGGGGCACTATTGGGCTTCAGACCAATGCCAGCCCTGCGGGGCAGTGTCAGTTGCATGGGCTTTCTGTGTGATCATGATTGTGATTGGAGTGTGTGGCTCATATTACATGCTGACTAGCAGCTATACGGCGAAGGCCAGTGTGATGATGTCCACCACGGCTGCTTTGGGAATGTTGATCGCCTTGTTTCAAAACCTTGGCGTTTTGAACACAGTTGCTGTTGAATGGCCAGCCGGCTTACGAGACCTCCTGAACTTTGCTTCAGTCTTCACCTTCAACCTTGATGCTCTTGGCTTGAGTTGTGCTGCAGGCGGCAACGTGGCGCGATATGTCAGCACGGCGTCCTTCTTTTGGATCGTTGCTGTGGCCTTGCCCACCGTGGGCTTGCTGACGAACTTCATTCCGATTATGAAGCGCCGGTCTCTCGCATGGGAGAAGAACAAGACCATCAGTACCACTGGCCAATTCTTGCAGGTGCATCAAGCTTGTTGTGCTATCGCCGCTGTTAGCGACCCCAGAGGAAATCGCGATTTTATGGTGCTGTCAGGTTGATGCTTCCTCGTTGATGTGGGGTGGGGTGGGGTGGGGCATGTTAACGTTCGCTTGCACTTGCGTCACGAAGTTGATGCTTCGTGGTAGATGTGGGGTGGGGTGGGGTGGGGCACTCAGTTGCTTGACCAAGTCTGGCGACAAGTGAAGAAATATGTGCCATATAGTCTGGCGACCCGCGAAGGTTTAGGACAGCGTGACGCAAAACGCGTCGATCAATATGTCCGCAGTTTTCAGTTTCGGTGGAACAACCGAGGAAATTTGCTTGAGGCGTTGGCCCGAACGTGGCCGCAAATGTAAAGAAAATACACCTGCAAAACGCGTGTGCGCCAAAAAAGTGCACTTTCTGCCCTTCCCCATTCTAAATTCCACCTTACAAGTGCTGACCCTTGTGAAAAATGGGATGAAAGCACATATGATCCAAACTCTCCCAAATGAAAAACTTGGAAAAATGGGAGGTTTTGAGCACTGTCCACTTTGGCAATGTGCGAATCGCACAGGGTCACTATTAGCGGCGGTACCTTGTTTTCTGAGGCTTTATAGTGGGCATTTTACGAACTACTGCCGTACTTCTTGACTTGTGTATGATTTGTTTGGTATACGGTAGACATGGGTAGATGCTTTTCAGAGAGATTTCCCTTTAGTGCAAACAGGCCATTGTCGGTTTTGGTGTCGACAGCAGTCAGATTCACACTTGACTCACTAACTTAGCTATTTGTTGGAAGACTATACTTGCCACTTCCATGATTTTGCAGGTGGGTTTCACCACGATGTGCAATGTGGGGCTCATGCTCTTCATGTGCTACCGACACCCAACCAGTGCAGAGAGCATCTTGAAATACCCCAACGTTTTTTGCGGTACTGAGGAGCACGCTCTTTGGCTTTGGAACATTTTGCAAGCTTTGGAGTCGTTGGTGTTTGTAGCAAAACAGGACCGTTTCACCACGTTTTTTGTGTTCTCAGCCAGCAAGAAACACCGTGTCACAAGCGGATCATTTTGAGTCTGTAGGGCGGAGGGCAGGCATTTGGTCTTATTGTCCTGGAGTAGATCAAGTTTGGAGCAACCTGACCAGCTGGCCTGGGTTCCTGGTGTTTTTAATGCCCTTCATATGATAACATGATGATAATGTCAAGATTGTTTCGTTTGTACACACGAGGAATTACCGCAATCAAACATACTATGGGTTGTCAACTAAATTGACCGCTTGTTGGACGTGTTTTATTGGTTTCCTTAGATATTGATTGACCCTTGTCCATGAACCTGAAAAACGGTTCAGATCATCATGCGCATCTTTGGTGGCTTGGTGCTGTTCTTGGCGTTCAGCTTCTTTGCGGCGGCCTGCTACGCGGCCTACCAAGCGCCACGCTGGTCCGGCAAGCCCAGGCGAGCCGTGTGGGCGTGTTTTCGGAATCCGCCGAGGGGTGCCTTGTCTTTGGGATTCCGAAACTTGTGGTTTTCCTCGAACATGATGGCCCTTCAGTGGATTCTTCCGTGCTTAACAAGGCGACAAACACAATGAACCAACGTGGTGGTTGACCGTCTTAGCGTGGTTGACGTGTGGCGAGGCTGGCAGCGATTCGCTTCTTGATCTTCCGCTTCAGGCCCAACGTGTGGTATTTTGGCTTGGTCCTCTTGGCCCGAGGACCTTTGTTGTCGATGCCAGGAGTCATTGCAACGAACATGCCCAGCTTGCAACTCACCTTGATGCACATGATTCTCCTTGGATCTTTGTGCCTTCAGCTGTGGTTCCTTCCTTGGAAGTCTCCAGTCCTCAACTTGGTGGATGGTTTGTCAGTGTCGCTGCTCGTCATGCTGTTGGCAGGGTCACTTGGATATGCCGACAACAGTGGGGAGGATGCTGCACGTGTTCTGGCACTCTTCGGCACGGTGATCTCATCCTTGATGGTCGTCATCCTGGCGGGAATGGTCATGCTCGGCCTCTGTGCGCTTTGCTATCGCTCGGCCTTGGGGAGCTCCAAGGAACTACGCATCATGAACCTTGGGAAGGTGCCAGAGGAGAACTAGGGGCTCCCGGCCGTACTACTAGGAACAAGAAGCTACTGGGGGCTCCAATGATCAGCGCCCTACATGTTCCCCTACGCAGGTCTAGCGATGTCCGGGTCGGTCACCTTTCTCCTTTCATGCATGTGAAACGACTTCCACGCATTGCGCGACATCACGCCGGTCTTGAGTTCAGAGTTCAGAACCACCTCTCCGTCTCCCTCCCTCTCTCAGTTCGGCCGATGTTCATGGTGGTTTCGTTTTCGGGGGATGGCCGCCGGGATGGCCTGCAGGAGAAAGATGTCTTTCAAAGCCTGTTGGACGTGGCCACATTCCTGAAGGAGGAGACTGGACTCATTCAGTGCATCATATTTTTGATTTTTGTTTTTTCTGCAACACGTTTCAGAGGGAAGATTGAAGAGTTCATCCCCATCTCCAAGCCTCTAAATGCCATGCTGGCGTCCAATCGAGCTCAGGATGGACATGGCAAAGAGCAGAATTTCATCTCTGACCTTGGCAAGCTCTCGGTCTATGACCTGGGCACCGTGATGCGCGCCATCAACATCTTGGCGGATGACTTGAACATGGCCGTGGGCGATGGGACGCGCCGCAGCTCCAGCCGCCGAATTGCCACAGGACAACGGACCACCAGGAGCGCTCGCTGGCGTTCCTAACGAATAGGGGCCTTAGGGGCCGGGTGGACGCCTGGGCCCGGCCATCTTTAAAACAACGATGCGGATCAGCGCCGCTTTTTGTAGAATTGGTATGGCCTAGTGTTCTTGATGCCAACCCTGGATGAACCAATCCCCAAAATTTGTCTTTGGCATCTGCCAGCATTTTTCTCTTCACGAAGAGATTTAGTCTTAATGACCTCCCTTTGTGATTGACCCCCCGAATTGACATAGCAACAAAGCAACCTTCCGGGGGGGCTATTAACATGATTGAAAAGATGAAAAACACACAGGGTCCTCTGCAGCGGACACGAGCGATCAAGATCGTCCTGTTTTGTCACGGTCAGGGTGTTAGTTGGTCTTATGAAACAGGAGACTCTGCAGAATGTTCAGAGACCTTCCAACAAGCAGTGCCTTCGAGTCGAGGCCCTGTGACACGGCCTCTCGCCTCTCCCTCTGGCAAACTGAAAAAAAAAGCGCACATTCTTCGAGCAACTTCAAGATCTTCAAGTGGCAAACAGCAACTCCAACCATCTTCATCTTCAGAACTTTGTTTGAACCATTTGGGCAACCGTTTCATTCTCAGAAGCGCGTTCAGCGCTTCGGACTGCCGGTGTGCAGATGTTCTCACTCCATTCCTCAGGAGCCAAACCAGCTTCGGCGCGGCGGAGCTGCAGAAGCCGGGTGCCGACAGGGAGAGCGCCTTGGTACCCACAGGCGCAGCCGCGGCGGAGCAAGAGAACAAGCAGTCCGCCGTGGTGTGAGACCTGGCCAAAATGCCCCAGGTCTTTTGGGTCCGGAAGGGTTAATGTTTGCTTCCAAGAGGGTGGCTCTCAGCTCCCAACTCGTGTGCTGGGATGAGTGTGGAATCAGAGGAATCAGACGCATCCGGTGAATTTCTGCATACAAGGATGTACACTGTACGAGCTTCCAGATTTTGAGCCAGACGCAGATGAGTTTTTGTTCAATTAATGCTTTGTGGAAAACCCAATGCACATGTTTACGAGTTGGGGCCACCTCACGAAGACTTTAGTCACGCGAGTTCACGCGCCTAATTCAAACGGCGAGTCCGCGTGCCATGCTCTGGTAGTTTGGCCTCGGAGCATTCAAATTCTTTTGCCAAACAACGTATCTGTGATTGAAATCCACAGAGGGTGGAGCCGTCGCACAGATCGAACGCCATCTGCTTGCGGGTGCCTGCCCATGCCCACGTGGGAACTCTTTTGAGGGTTTCTGGTGGATCTTGGTGCTTGTCAGTTTGCAGCTCCAGTTTCATGCAGACCAGCGCTGAGACTACCAGACTGGCGCCTGGCGCAGCAAAAAGAAGCAGGCTGAGATCTGTTCCGAGCTACGAATCAACCTGAAGAACGCCTGTTACTTGTCACCCACGCCCCAGTGAAGACATCATCGCCCCAGTTTCAAAGGATGGATGAGGAGGGATGTTGTTTTTGGGTTCCGCGGCTTGCTCAGTGCAATTGGTTTGGACCGTTTCATTTGTGTTTCGACAGGTTGTTTGCATTTCTGCTACAAGTACTTGAGGAAGTCGATAAATGACCCACTGATTTTGCGGCTAGTCACCAGACTGATCTTGCAAAGAGTGGGTGCCACATCAGCATTTGAACACTGCAGGAAGTCCAAGGTTGTTGTTTTGATGTTCTTCTTGCAAATGAGACGACAGTGTTCATCAGAGTGAAGCTTTATCGTTCAATGGAGAGGGACTGCCTTATCTTTCCCCCGGAACCCGCCATTGCTGTTCGGAGTCGTTGGAGCGTTCTCGAAGCACCGGGACCGTGACTGAGGTACTATGACCAGTCCGAGTACACCGAGTGGCCCAGCAGGGCTGATATGGACCGTCACGGCACGTGTCGCCGCCCGGAGGGTGCATCGAAACGAAGGGAGCGATCGGACGCTATAACTAGGAACAGTGAAAGCAAACACCTCCACCCTAGCAATCCAATCGTACCTTCTCACAAGGTACGACTGGACCCTCCAAACCTACATAGCGGTGTCTCCTTCCTCACCTTCTGAGAAGGTATGACTGGATCCCTAGGGCCAACAAAGAAAGCCAAGCACAGTTGGACACCCAACCGGGCCAACCGCCGAAGAAGAACCCCACCGTGGTGTGTGTTTTCACACAGAGCATCTGATACAAACACCCCCCCACAAAGGAAAGGATACCGGGTCCGATCCAATCCTTGATTCTCAGGTCGATTTCTTCATAATTGATGTCCATCGTTAACAATATCTCTTTCATATCTCGATGTGATGTATTGATATTTGTTTATAAATCCTATCCAATAGAACTGAACCCCAGCGCAACACTGCGTTTTTACAGCGAACCCGGCGCAACCATCCCACCGGTCGTGCGACCCCGGTACCGGTCGCGGTCCAGGACGACTCTTGGCGTCGGACCTCCAAGGAGGAGGCCGTCCGTGGTTAGCGAAGCGGAGACCCGACCGACCTCGACGTGGCGGCGGAAGACGGGTTTGGAGGGGACCTCCGACCGGACTCGGGAGGAGGGTACCGAACTGTCGAAGGAACGGGCGCGGGTCTGCACCCAGCCACCTAGAGGTGGGCAACCCCGGTTTGTGCGTCCGACAGCCTTGGTTTACAAAGCAATTTCTGGTACTAAATCCATCCAAGGTTCAACCCGTTGTCCGACAGCCAAGGAAGCAAAATGGCTTTCGAACGACGTTCCGGGTGGATGTTCGTTGCACGGCCGTGCACGCCCCGCGTACCTGCCTTACGGTGTAGATCGGACTCGTAGTATCAGATCCTGCAGTTCTGAAGCAGCACATCTCGTCCGTAAAAGATGAAAAGCACACTTCCCAATGGTTCCGTTACAAAAAAGGATGTCCATTTCTGGGTGGTTGTAAAGCTACATTTCCCCCATTTCGGCTTCCAAGACCCTTCAAAGAAAGGTTGAGCTGGTTGCGTAGTGTAAAATCCCCAGTAAAACAATGGTGGTTCGGCAAACCAAATTAAACCAGCAGTCACAAGACGGGGCGCGATCCATGGAGGTGGCTGCCCAGGACATCCACTGCATGGGACCCAAAAGCACCCTGGCCTCCATGTGACTGCTGGAAACAATGGCTTTCTGCATGAAAGCTCCCAACCTCGACCTCTTATGCCCGCCCGCCGTCCACACCGGGCAAACGCTGGACTTTTTTGAGGATGTGGACGTTTCCGGTGGCTTCCACTTAGTGAGTTTGAGAGGATGTGGATGAACCGTTCTTCTTTTTGTCAGAAAAGCCAGCAAATCATTGAATTCCATCCGCAAAAAACACAGAGCACCCAGAATGCGCGCCAAATTGCCCAACGTCCTGAACCCTTTTGCCCCTTCGTTGGACCGTCCTGGCTCCGCGAGCGCCGTCCGCCGAAAAGCGCCGACGCCGATGCCGACTCCGTCAGGGCTGGGCGAAAGCATGCCACGGGCGTAGCTGGGGAGGCCCACCCGATGGACGATGGAACCAAACAAGAAGACACCAATCGAATAAATTAAAGGTTGGCAGAGAATCCACTTTCTTTCATTTGGTCTACTTCTCATGACTAATACCAGGACCTTCCCAGTGACCCTTTGAGATCTCAGAATGAGGTCACTGGGAAGGTCCTAATACCTTTTATTTAACTATAGGTTTGCTGGTGTCGGTGAAGATCGGAGAGCTCGGAGACCTCGGTCAGAACCGCGGTCCTGGGTGAAGAACAAGCCGGGATCCGGTCACAGCTACAGCTACCCACCGTGTCCGGGACACCCGTTGGTACTGTACGTCATGGGGTGGTCTTCTGGGCAGAGAACACTTGAGACTTGATTGAATGACCTACTGGAGAATTCTTCTGCCATAGCCCCTCAAGAGCCGTGGAGTTCTCTTTTCCTTCTTCACCGGCTTCCAAGGGAAGCCTCTCAAGATCGGATCGGGATGGTCGAGCCACAGTGGAAGACAGCCGCCGTCGTGGAGGAAAACAGTCTTCCCTTTCAGGGCCACGTTCCAGGTTTGTTGAAGGGTAACCCCCCCATATATTGACATGGCCTTTTAAGAAGGATTCAATTAGGACCATACCATTGTGGGTGTTTTTCAGATTGCTCCTCTTCATGGGTTCTGTGCAGGTGGTGTTTGGAAGTGGTGAGAAATCCGACAAAGGGGGATGCGGAGGATTGGCAGAGATGTTCTTTTTTTGGGTCTATGGTTTTTGCTCTCTTTATCAACCCAACCCCCCTTGTTAGTCACGAATTCCACACCTTGACACGTCCGATTCCGATGAAAGCGATTCTTAAGGGAGCTGAGCAGAGTCTTTGATCGGAGCTTTGTCCCACCTCTGCAAGGTCGGCTCCTTAAGAGAGGTGTTCCTAGTGAA